AAGTACATATATAGCAGACCTGAGTTATCTCTATTCCAAGAAATCCATATTGGAAAGTTTTGCATGATTATGGATTTGAAGATTGGTTGCTGAATGCAAAAAAAGCTGTATATAATGAAAGTAAAGCATGGATTGAAATAAGCAGAATGCTTAGAAAATGGTTCAATATTGAGCAGGCATTAAGACAAAGATATTTGATATCCACTTAATTGTTTAATATATTTATCAATTAACATACAGTTAGGCCTCGACTTACGACAGTTCATTTAGAGACCATTCAAAGTTATAACACTGAAAAAAAGACTTATGACCATTTTTCACATTTACGACCTTTGCAGCAGCCCATGATTATGTGATCAAAATTCAGATACTTGGCAACTGGTTCATACTTATGACCATTGCTGTGTCCCAGAAATGCTGGGCTCAATTGTGGTCATAAGTCGAGGACTACCTGTATAAGAAAAGCTTATGATGATGTGCATCAAGGATATGAATATTCACAGTTCTTTTATCAGATGATGCTGTGTTGGCTGGTTGATAACACAAATTATTTGCAAGAAATGTAAGATGTATTGCATAATGCAACGTTAAAATTATGAATCTGAAAATCTGGGCATCGAACTCCAAGGCAATTGGTCTGAACAAACAGAAATGGTGAAAACTAGAGTAAATGAATTTATGTTCCTTACTATATTAAAGATAGGAAACTGGATGGATGAATTTTAGAACATACAAATAAAGCTAAATACAGCAAGATATTTAAGAAGTTGTTTGGTAAACAATAATGGTAATAAAAGAATTAATGGGTGCTGAGGAATATGATTTCAATACGAGAATGAATCTCTGTACAGAGGAGTGTGGAGTTAGCTTTGAAAAAGGTTTTCAACCACCATTAACTGCCATTAAGCTCATCTTAACTCATGCTTTAGCCCTGAAAGGAGGGAATGAGGCAGAAAGTTAAAACTCCCTTTTCATTCTTTTTGTATAAGAGGGAGAAAATCTTTGTCAAGACTTTCAAAATTCTGTTGTTATACCCTGCAACAATAGATATACAATAGTCTTTGTGGATCTAAAGGGCCAACAGTCTATACACAAGAAATATGCTGAGGCAGTTTATAAAGAATGAATAAGTGAATTACAAAACACAGGTCAGAAGCAGAAGTGGTAATCAGCAGGTTCTGATTAATTCTGGAGAACTGGTAGCGGAAATTTTGAGTATTTGAGTAAATACCACCTGTGACTGGCCCCACACCCATCTATTCTCTGCCTCCCTCCCTCCTTCCCTCCCAAACAACTAGGATTCTCTGAGTCCCAGTTGTTTAGGAGGGAATGGGAATTTTGCAGTAACCTTCCCCTGGAATGGGGAGTGAATGGAGATTTTACAATATCCTTCCCTGGAGTGGGGTGGGATTGGAGATTTTACAGTATCCTTCCCCTGCCACGCCCACCAAGCCACACCCACCAAGTCACGCCCAACGAACCAGTAGTAAAAAAAATTGAATCCTACCACTGATCAGGAGGAAGACTAGGAAAAGTAAAGGTGGATGGAACTGATAAAATCCTCTGAATGATCCAAAAAAAAGGATAGTTTTATGTCTTTTGAAGAAGCAAGAATGGTTAGGACCTAAAGTTAGAGAGGTATGGTGAATAGCGGTGATGTAAACTGGGAATGTACAGCACTTTAGATCCAAAAGTTCTTCATCAAGGCACCCCCTCTTTAAAGAAGCTGCACCTTTTCTTGGGCAAACACAGTAGCCATGCAATCCGAGAAAAATACATGTTTTAGTTTAACAGGGTGCATACGTGTTTCAAAACATGATTTTGTCTGTAGACCTCAGGTGCAGTGCAGCTTAAATGTAAATAGATTAGTGTATATCCCCCTCTACCTCATTTTTCAAAACTATTTGGCTTACTATTTATCCTTTTCTGTGGAAAGCTATTTGACTATTTCTTAGCATTTTCTGTAGAGAATGGAAATAACAGTTTGGTGGATATATATGTGCTACCATTTCTCAATTTCACAATACAAGATTGCCACCTGCTGAGTCTGTCAGTTTGTAAAATCATGCTTATTTTGACTCTGACAATATAGGAAATTATTGAAGGAAATGTCCTTCCCTATTACAAATAGGTAGTTATCAAATACAGCTACCATGTGGAAATTATATGTTTCAGGAGTATCTAAATGACACATAACCTTATCAGTTACCTATTCAAACATTCTTCTTAGTGTATCTATACGATAAAATTAATGGTAATATAGATTTTTAAGAGTCTTTTTGTTAGATATGCCATCTTGAGTTTGATAGATATAAAGCAAAATTGTCTCCGAAAGTTCCTCTATGTATGTCATCATAGGAAGCCTTTTTCAGAAGAAAAATTACAGTTAAATCTACTTGGTTGATCTACAATATACTGAATTATTAACATTTGCTGAAAACAGAGTCTATCTTAAAAACAAGGGAAAACTTGGGAGGAGGGTTTTGCTTGTCAATGGTTACATACGTTCAATTGCTTGAAAATTTTAAATTGGACAGAAATAACTTTACTTTTACAGATGAAAGAACTGGTTTCAAAAAGGATGTATGTACCAGCAATGAATAACTTATTGCTAAGGTATATACATTGTTATGGATGATGAATCAGTAAGGTGAATATATTAAATATTATATGATTAAATGAGCAAAACATTTAGGGGTATAATATAATGTCGAAGTTTTTGGAAATGTGACCAACATGAGGGATAGTTTTTATTACTTACAGTGAATCTTTAAAAGTGAAATGAAATATTGGGATCAGATAGGTTACTTAATCCAGAAGACTCTTTAAAATAATATAGGGTAGAAATCAAGTTTTCATTTTAGGTTTAATGGAGAAACAGATTGAAAGAAAACATGGAACTTTATTTTTATATGTGGTATCTGCTGCAAAGGTTTTGAATGCAAAGAGATGGAAGATTGTACAAATTCCCACAAACAATAGCCTAATCTAGGAACAACCAAGAGGGTCTATGACAGTGTTTCTCAACCTTGGCAACTTGAAGATGTCCGGACTTCAACTCCCAGAATTCCCCAGCTTAATTCTGGGAGTTGAAGTCCGGACATCTTCAAGTTGCCAAGGTTGAGAAACACTGGTCTATGACAATTCACCAAAGTTAATTCGCCATGGCCAACTCACTCTGGCTATGTTGCCAGTCAACTTGCCATGGCCGACTCACTACAAGACAATTCACCATGGCCATCTTGCCACAGGAAAACTCAGTGCAGAATAAAAGTTACAATAATATCAAAGAAATTGTGGATTGGAATCATTAAAGAAAGAATGAAAAAGGAGATACAGAATGAAATGTGAATGGCAAAAATTAAAATATTTTTTATTTATTTTAAAAAATTAAATAGAATTGTTAAATTGTCCCGTAGCGAATTGTCCTCTGGAGAATTGGCTGCAGGAAATTGGCTATGGTGAATTGGCTGCAACAAGTTGGCTGTAGCAAATTGTCCCATTCCCCCGCCAAGACCACTTCCACCAGCACTGACAGGTATGCCACTAATATATAATAGTATATAAAATTAGACTCTCCCTTCTAGCACTGTTGTCACCTAGTTTGATAATAAACCTTCTGCAAGAAAACACCAAGCTCAGAGAGGACCAAGGATATCATCATTTGCGGAATTGTTATGATGATGTATTTATGTGTTATCTACTTTATTTAGAGCAGGGGTAGTCAACCTTTTTACTTACCGCCCACTTTTGTATCTCTGTTAGTAGTAAAATTTTCTAACCGCCCACTGGTTCCACAGTAATGGTGATTTATAAAGGTGGGATGTAACTTTACTTTATAAAATTTATAAAGCAGAGCTACAGCAAACCCCTACCGCCCACCATGAAAGCTGGAATGCCCACTAGTGGGCAGTAGGGACCAGATTGACTACCACTGATTTAGAGTAATAAATTATGATATATATTGCTCTTATTTCATTATTAGACTGTGGGGCTTACAGTCTTAACTAATAAAAGTGCCTTTTTTGGAGCGGAAATGATTTCTGTGTTGCCAATGTGTTCAAGAATTCTACACAGAGATGGTGCAGGATTCCACAGATAATTTTGGAGTAGGATAGGAGAACTCTCTAAAGGAGGTATCTCTTTTCCAGTTGAGCTGAGCTGGGTTAGTCTTTCTTCCATCATTTTAAACCAAGCTCAAAAAGTAGGTCAACAGGAAAATGCTTAGCTGGATGTTGGTGTCCACTGGTATTCCACTATACCAGGGGTGTGAAACTCGTGGTGTAGTCACGGGATGTATTGCAACTTCCCCCCCTTCGCTAAACCAGAGGTAGGCGTGGCCAGCGTGATGCATCTGGCCCGCAGGCCGCAAGTTTGACACCCCTGCCCTATACCATACTACATTGTATCAGATAAAGTTTTCACAAATATCTTCTGAAAAAGGTAGTAATGCTGCCTCTCAACCCTCACTCAAAGAAAAGTTATACTTTCTCTTTCACAGCAGAGTTCTTAATCCACTTTCTTACAGAAAACACTTAAGGCAACTTGATTCTCACTTGTTTTAATGGATCCCTCTTTTTATATGCATTTAGGCAAAACATATTACATATATTGGCAGGGCCCACAACATATATTATATCCATCAGTTGGGTCAGTAAAACTAATAACTTGTCTTGTGAAAAGAAAACATATCCAAGCCTAAAGATTCCGAGTGAGAATTTCATGTTAAGAAATAAAACATAGGTCAAATTCATTGAAATGTTGAGCAGCAAAATGCAAACTTAAGAATACTCTTCACATATAGCTTGCCAGTCTATTCAGTTTGGTTTTTTAAACATATTAAACAAAAAGCTGTATTTCTTTATGATACAAAAAGAATATCTCATTCCCAATATTCTATCTTGGGAATATATTTCTATTTTTCTCTAAGCCAAATAAACAAATTCAAAATACCAGCTGGCAGAATGTTTCATTGATGAGACGGCATGTCTTAACTATCCCTAGGCATCCACTAGAGTAAGTCCATCATGAAGGGCACGTTTCCACATGTAGTATGTGGAGCGTGCTGTTAAGGGAAAGTGAGCTCTGAACTCCTTGAATGTTGGAAAGGTCTGTGATGCAAAACGTTGCTGGAGAAACAGCTTGGCCTGGGCTTTGAACTGAGCTGTGGCAATCACATCCATCACAAACATGCTGCTATTGACGGTTTCAGGCATTTGATAACCTGGACTTGCAGTGCTGCAAGTCGGCATCTGCTCATCCTCAAGCACTTGAGAAAACTCTTCAGGGTGTGGGGAATGGAATTTAAGTTCTGCCTTTCTTTTCATCTCAGAAGATGATGTGGGAGTTGGCTGCAAATTTTGGGAAGCCATTGTTAAGGGGAGGCAATGCTTTTTGGTCTCCTTGACACTTTTTTTCCTCCAAAACCAATAGGTTGCAGAAGAAATATTAGGATAACGCAAGCGAAACTTACAGAGAGGCATGTTCCATTGGCAAACACGTTTCCTGGCCAACTCACGAGCTTGCTTTTGCCAACTGTAGAGAGATTGCCTGGTGCCCATGAGAATTCGGGGCCCTGGATGTTGCCCATTGACCATCTTCACATTAGGCAGGTTTCCTGACTTTAGTGACAGATACAGATTCCTAGTCGGTTTCTGGATTACAGAAAGAGGTAGGGGAGGTTTAAAATTTGGATTCCCTTTGATGGCTTTTCTTCTCCAGTTATAATACGTTGATCTGGAGATGCCAGGAAAGCTACGTTTAAAGTTTCTATATGGCACAAGACTATTCATGGCAATGCATTTTTCTAGATAAGACTTGGCTCCTTGCATGGAAGTTCCATTTTTGGGATGATTCAGGAAATCGTTTGAGCTCTGGCCTCCTTCAGATGTTGATGCACCATCCGGACTAGTGTGAAGCTTGTACATTTGAGGATCCTTAGACAAGGCAACATCAGAAGAGGAAGAAACCTCACGGTTGTTCACACTTTGCATCTCGTGCTTCCAGGCATAGTAGGTGGAGCGAGAAATTTCTGGGAACAACTGTCGGAAGTGTTGAAGAGGAATAGTGTTACCTTCCTGAAAACAGGATTGCAAGAAGTGTTTGGCTGCAAATCTGGCCGCTGCTTTCTGCCTATGCTCTCGTGACTGTCGTTTCCATCGATAGAAGGTGCTTTTGGTAATGCTGTATCTTTCACGTAGGTTAGAGTAAGTCACCTGGGGATCCTTGTTCAGCAACTCCAGTGTCTTCACAGGCTGAACCTGAGCTTCCGGAATGGATGCTGTGGGTTCCAGTTCTTCCAGACCCATGACAGGGACAAAGTACTGAGCTTCGAAAACCTGGGAAGAAATCTGCCTCCCTGACCACATGATGTGAAGTGTGGAGGTTTGCAAGTTACACGTTCTAGGTCGAATGAGTCGGTTGAAGTATGGCCGTATCTTAAGGTTGCTCATTGGGTAGATGGAATAAATGTTGCATTGTAGTACAGATGCCAGACCGTACAGATGCCACATGTTGACATAGCTGCCAATAAAGCAACTGGCTTTAATGTCAACATCAAAGATAGCCTCGATGGTAGCTATAGGTAATTTAGTCATCTGAGGAGATTTATCTGTACAAAGAGAATAACGAGCAGCTTGCAGCATCACCTTAGAATCAATCATGCCGTGGAAATAGTACTGCTTGTTAAGCAACATCTCCACAACTGTGCGGACTTGTAACTCCAGTGTTAAGCTAGTGTTACCCCACAACAACACACTTGCTGCCTCAAACAAGTGGTCCCCATTGCCTTTACAAATGAAAGGCAACATATTGCGAGGAGCATCTTCTGGGTAAAGACTTTTTGCTACACGGTCAACTTCCAGCTCCTCCTGGAACTGCCTCCCATAATAGCTGGGTAGTGAAAAAGAGGACAATATCATCTGACATTTCAAGGCTGCCTTAATTAATTGCTTTATCCCATCATATTCAGATGCCTTCTGGAGTTTCTGGAGCACGGACTGCAATAATTGTTGGCGTTGAATCATTCTGAAATATAGAAAAATTTGAAGAATTAGAATACCATGTTTTGCACAGATTTTCCCTTCATGGCTCCATGAAACTACTTAGAGAGACACAGTTATGCTGTTTTGTCTTGGCACATAACTATACTTCCTGAGCATATCAAAAAGCCATATATAATTAAACAGAAAGTCCAAGCTAAGAGATGTTTTCATTGAAAATGGTGCACAATCCTGTGGGTTAGAATACTGAATGAGACCTTATTCCTTAATAAATAGTCATAAGGCTGCACTATTGTTAATTTTGCATTGGACTGCATATTTTATAAAATTAAATTTAATCAAGTATGTACATTATCCCATGGTCTTATGCATTGTTAGCATATACCAAATTAAGCTCTAGTACGTATTATCCACCTGAACCTACTTAGCACACTTTGCCATTAAACTGAAGGATTAACACTTGAAAATATGATCAGTGTAACCTGCTAAAATTCACTGAAGAGCACAGCAATGCTGAAAGATAAATGTATGCTTTCTAAATGAAGAAATACTCATTTTCTGAAGTTTACTTTTCATCATTTTAATGCTGCCCTTCAGTAACGTTTGCTCTTTAAAGGACAGATATTTGATTTAAAGGCAACTTGTTCATACGCTGTACTCTATCCAACAAAATCTCTCATCCTTCAATTGTCTGGGTTTTTTTTTCCATTTGTCAAATATTTGCTTATATCCTTTAAAGAAAGAATTTTTTTAAAAAAAATCTGTGTTGCATCCCTGTAGTTTTTATTCTTTCTAGCCAGCCAATGCATAGCAAGCATTGAAACTGCTGATTCAAGGGGCTCATATCTAGTAGGCTGAGAAAGGCTGAGATAATGCAGTAACAAATTATTTTGCCTTAATTTGTCATAAATAATTCAGCACAATAGTTCATTTGTGTTTACATTTTACAGATTTATGTTCTAAATATAACACTACCTGGACTATGAGAGTTAGCTATTGTACAATTTGGTTGGCTTTGCAAAGTAAATAAAAAAAAAACCAATATAATGCAAGATCTAAGAGACCTCTTCTGGTGATAAGACAACATTGCATTTCTATAGTGGCATTTAGGTAATTTACAAAGTGTTTTATAAAGTAAAAAATAAATTCAAGAATTACTGCAAGATGAAGACATTGTGGATATCACAAACACCTTGCAAAATTAGGAAATAAGTATTCCCTTCCACCAGGGAGGAGCCTTTCACTGAAAGCTCAGCATGCTGAAGATACAGAAGTGAAGTAAAATTGTGCTTCTGTTTTTCCTAGCTGAGATTGTTTCTTATTTTGTTTAAAAAAATCCTAACAGTATTTTGCAATAATCTGAGAAGGTAACAACATGGTTTCAGCCACCTCAGGGTCATATTGCTTGCAAACATTGCTTGCAAAATTCAGCACTTGTGGGAAATTCAGTTCTGAAAACACAAGACCGAAATACCATTCTCCACAAACAAGCAAATTATAAGGCTTTTCTCATACAATTTACAGGATGTAGCACTGAGTTATATGGTAAAAGTATAGTAAAGGTAAAGATTCCCCTCGTATGTGCTAGCTGTTCCCGACTCTAGGGGGCGATGCTCATCTCCATTTCAAAGCCGAAGAGCCAACTCTGTCCAAAGACATCTCCATGGTCATGTGACTGGCATGACTACACACCAAAGGTGCACAGAATGCTGTTACCTTCCCACCAAAGGTGGTTCCTATTTTTCTACTTGCATTTTTATATGCTTTCGAACTGCTAGGTTGGCAGAAGCTGGGAAGTAACGGGAGCTCACTCTGTTATGCGGCGCTAGAGATTCGAACCGCCGAACTGCCAACCTTTCTAATCAACAAGCTCAGCATCTTAGCCACTGAGCACCTGCATCCAGACAGGTATAGTATGCCTCACTTAATTTGAACACTTCAACAATGCGCAATATTCAATGCAATATAATGTATATCCTTTACCATTCTTGCCACAGGATGTATTTTCCTATTCACAGGAATAGCTTAATGCAAGGATGGAGAACAGATACACTGTCAGCGTTCCAAGTATCATGTAGAATCAAATCAGAGTCCAAGGCAGAACGATCCTTAAAGTTCCAATTTAATAAAGCAGACATCTTGGCATTATGCTATGAATCCCAATTCTGGAAATGGCATCAGAATTCTACCCAGGTAAAAGTTCATGATCTAGTCCCCACACCAACAATCCATCACATGGTCCAATCTTCTTCTTCCACGCTGGCATCCACACCCAGCTGCTTCGGGTCAGGTGTTAAAAGTGCGGAGACAAAAGATGACCTTGGCTTCTAGTAAAGAATGAAAACAATGCATTCCACAATCCCACTCCTGTCTATTC